TGCTTGTGTAGGGACCCCCATGGGCTCTGCTGGAGGACTCAGCTGACACGTGGTTTCTCTATCTGAAGGTACTCAAGGAGGAGCTGTGAATATCCTGTCAAATACTAAAAGGACCTGCAGATTTTCCTGTGAGACTTTGGTCATCTTAAATGGCCCGAACCTTCCCATCTGGTTCCCTCTAAAGAATAAGCAGGCTATGCTTTTTAGAGATCGTTGTCAGTGAGGATTTTTTTTGAGGGGGTAGGGGGTTCAGAAAGAAAAGACCCAGAAAAGGATACGGAGTGGTTTGTTTTCTTTCTTCCTTCCTTTCTTTCATTTGCTATAGGGCATCTATGCTTGCCAGAGAGAGGCAGAGAAGGAGACAGAGACAAGAGAAAGGACAGTGAGAAATCACCCTCCTTCCGGGGAGGGGCATGGCCACACTGCAGTCCCTTCTCCTCTATTCTCCTTTTGGGATTTTGGATACATACACATGCATGCACACACACACACACCTGGTGTGATTTTCAAGCCACTGGCTCTGGGACTCAAACTGCAAAGTTGGTCATGTGGGATCCAGTTGCCTTAACCTCCATGCCCCCTGCTGGCCCCAGGATAATTTTGATGCAGTCTAACTCCAAATGGGTTCAATGACATAGGAGAAATGTATTATCTTTTTTCTTCCATTACTTCAATTTTATAGGTAGGTCTCTTTTCAGGTAAGGCTTGATCCAGTAGCTTGCAGAATGTCACCAAATACAGGCTTTCTTCCTGCTTCTCTATTCTTTTTTTTTTTTTTTTAAAGGAATTTTTTTATTTAATTTTATTATTTATTTTAATTTTACCAGGGAGAGAGAGAGAGAGAAAGTGAGAAAGCAAGCTGCTAGGTCCAGGACTTGAACCGAGGTTGACCCTGTGGGAGTCCAGCACCCTTAACCCCCATGCCACCTGCCAGCCCCGCTGCTTCTCTATTCTAACTCCTATAGTGTTGGCTTCATCTTCAGAGACCACCCAGTGGTCTTATGGGAGTTCCAGATTTTGCTCTTTTCAGTGTATTTCACACCTTCATTCTACACGGTCTAAAGGGAGAAAGAACATATCTTCAAATACCTCTTACGTGAATCCTGAGAGTCACTCTCTCTTGTTGACCTGATTCCAGCCATTTACCAATACCTGAAACAATTGCTATGGCTAAGAGACTAGAACTAGGGATCAGAAAACTCTTAGGAGTCAAACATCTCTTAGGCTCCCTTTTTTCAGATGCTATATGATTTCTTATCTCTTCTCTCAGCATCTCTGCTTTTCTCTCTCCCTCTCTCCTTCTTTCCTGGCCTTTCCTTGTTCTGTTTTTCACTGCACAGCATGGAAGATCCTTGAGTTTATGTGGCCTCATTATAGGGATAATAGAGCCTAAGGGATTCTCCTGGTTTGAAGTCCTGGGAGAAACAATCTGACTGAACTCAGTAGGGTCAGTTTCTTTCTTTCTTTTTCTTTTTCTTTTTTTTTTTTTTAAGAATTATTTTACTCAACTTTTTATTTACTTATTTATTTTCTTATTTATGTGTTTTAATGTGACCAGAGAGGGGCAGAGTGAGAGAGAGAGAAAGAGAGGGAATGTGAGAAAACAAGCCACCAGGTCCGTGACTTGAACCGAGGTCAGCCATGTGGGAGTCCAGCGCTCTTAGTCACCACGCCACCTGCTAGTCCCCAGTAGGATCAGTTTCTACTCCAGATTCCAGCAAGAGAGTTCAGGGAATTAGGATCACCTGGCCTAGACATGTCTAGAGGTGCCATCATCACAGTTAGGCAAGGGGACAGGAAAGATTTCAAGGACTTGATGTCAGTCCCTCATAACCAGAGCAGAAAAGTGAGTGTATACCTCTATATGCCAATTTCTGGGGAAGGTTTTTCACTCAATTATTCTGATATATGTGTCACTTAGGATTCTTTGGTTGCAAGGGACAGAAATTAACTCTGGCTAACCCAAGCCAAATATATCACATCACTGGGAAAGTAATGACACATTTTTGCATGTACACACACACACACACACACACACACACACACACGCACACATTAGGTCATCAGGAAAGTCATGATGTGTTTTTCTATGCAAAAATGCATCTTATCTTTGCTGACAACCCAATATATTCAGGATCCCAGGAGAGAATGTCTAATTGGAGTGGCCTGGGTCATACAATGTGCTAGATTATTATAGTCATGATCCTTAATGGATCACACTTCCCTCAGCCCACCCCTCTTTGTAATGTGATGTAGCACGACTTCTGTTCAAGGGGTAGAGTCTGTTTTTCTACCCCCTTGAGTTGGAGTTGGCCTTATGACTTGTCCAACCAACAGGCTGTGGCCAACTTGATATTGCGTGAGCTCCAGAGCTCAGATCTTAAAAAAACTTGCATCTATTGTTCTTTTCCTCTTGGAACCCTGGGACCACTGTGTTGTAGGGCTAACCTGCTGGATGGTGAGGAAACTGAGAATCCCCAGGCGAGAGTCAGCACCCACTGCCAGATCTTGACTAAGACCATCTTGGATCTTCCAGGTAAGTGGAGCCATATGGATGAGCCCAGGTGAGAATACTAGATTTGCCCAGATGGCCGACCCACACAATCATAAATTATATACCTTTGTTGCTTTAAGCATCCAAGTTTGGGTTTTTTTGTTGTGCAGCAATAGATAACTGAAAAACATGCCCAACCCTTGGGCCCAGAGAGGAGAAGTCTGCAAGGAGAAGTCTCCAGGAACCTCCTTTGGCTTGCACAGTGTAAGGGCTCCATACTTAGATTTTCTGCTCCACCAATTGCCCATAGTCAGGGAGAAGTAATTCTTCAAAATGCAAGCAGGCTACTGTTTAGAAGAGAAAAATATATACATACTCATAGTGGTCCAAAAACAATAACTATTCACTCTATTTTTTTCTTATGCTTCTTGTAAACAGAGCTGTGTAAACACTCTGAGTACCTATTACATACCATCTCAAAGCTCATACTTTTGAAATAAATATCCCCGGGATGGACTGATCTGAATTAAATAGATGGAGACTGCAGTCTGCACCATCTGCAGGCCTCCACTTCTTCTCTTGGCCCAGTTTGAGAACAAACACATACACACCAAACGGCAAGAGCACTACTGATTTAGAACAAATTAAATAAGGCAACATGTAGGATGTCAACACTGAGCACTCCAAGACAGGACCCAGCACACCTACTCCGAGCGTGGAGGACAGGACTGGCTCTGCGCTCAGCCACTTAGTCCCCCCAGGTCAGAAGCCAGCTTGGCACAGCGTCCATTGATGGCGTGAACTCTAGCTCTGGGCTTCTCATACAGGGGTAGGACATTGGGAAAGGTCAGAGACATTTGGGGTGGTCACAATGAGGTGGAGGGCATGGTGGTATTGGCATCTAGTGGGTTGAGTCTGGGGATGCTACTCAATACCCTTTAAGGTCCAACACATCCCTCCCACAACCAAGAATTATCTGGCCTAAAGTATCCATAGTACTGAGGTTAAGAAACCATAACGTAATAGAAATAGAATTACCAGATAGACCAGGAGCCCTAACCATATCCCTGGTCCTTAGAATAACTATAAATACTAAACTACGTCCTGTCGTTCAATGCAGCACTGTGTATAAGGTCCTACCATGCTCTAAAACTCAGCTGTCTGTCAGTCCACTCGTGGTATTGATCCAAGGGAAATGAAGACATACCTCCATGCAAAGACCTGTAACAGCCCCAAGTCTGTTACCTTGCAAATAGATAAACAGAATAGCATCTATTCATACTACTTGACCAGAGAAGAAATAAAGTACTGATATGTACTACAATGTGGATAGAGCTCAAAAACATTAAGGCCTGGGGGGAGCAGTAGTTAGCGTAATGGCTATGTTGCTGGACTCCCACGTAGCTGACCACGGTTCGAGTCCCGGACCCGGCGGCTTAAACGCATGCCAGGTGCGTGTGTGTGCATGCCCAAGATCCCGAGAGGAGAATGGAGGAGAAGGGATTGCAGCGTGGCCCTCCCCCCTGGGGGGGTGGTGATTCTTGCTTTCTGTTTCTTTGTCTCTCTCTGTCTGGTGAGTGCACGCACCCTATAGCAAAAACCTCTCCAGAAAAAAAAAAAAAAGAGAGAACACAGACTTCTAAAGACTGTGTTTAAACAAACAAACAAATAAACAAAAAGCTCAATAACTAAATAATAGGTTCAGTGAAAATAGCTGGACACAAAAGGCTGCATACTGGATGATTCTACTTACACAAAATGACTAAAGAAAACAAATCATAAAGATAGAAAGTAGAGTAGTGTTTGCTAGGGGCTGGTATTAGAATGGGAACTTGTCCTAAAAGGGCATTAAGAATTTTACTGGGGTGATGAAGATGTTCTAAGTTTGAGTGGCTGGCCTTTGGTGAGGACCGTCTTCCTCCAGGCATGGGCACATAACTCCGACATAACCAAGGGCTGCTGTGAGTGGTTCAGAGATGAGCATGTGACCCAGCTGGTCCAATGAGACACAATCTTGGGAGTTTTGCTGGGATCCTTGGAAAAGAGGTTCATCTTTTGCCTCAGTGGTTGCTAAACTAGTAGACCATGAACTTGGAACTACTCTGATAGCCTTTTTTGCTAACATATTGGGAAAGCTCATGATGGGATGACTCCTGTGCAGAGCTGGAGAGGAACAGGATACATTCATGCAGAAAAAGGTCCTCTTGACTGTCTGTGGTATGAGGTAGTTAATTCCCTTCTAGTTCGTAAGCTGAATTAAATTCGTTTCCATTACACATAACTGAGAAGAGGGCCAGCTATTGGCACGGTGGTTAAGGCGTCTGGATCCCACATGGTTGACTTCAAGGTGAGTCCCAGACCCAGTGACTTGAAAAACACGCTGGACACATGTGCCTGCATGTCCAAAATCCCAAGAGGAGAATAAAGGAGAAGGGGTTGCAGTGAAGCTATCCCTCCGGGGAAGTGATTTCTCAATTTCTATCTCTCTCTGTCTCTGGTGAGTGCACACACCCTATAGCAAACTTAAAAAAAAAAAATCTCAAGAGGAGAATGGAGGATAAGGGATTAAGGCATAGCCATGCCTCTGGGCAACTTTCTTGCTTTCCTTCTCTCTCTCTCTGTCTCTCTCCAGCGAGCCACATGCCCCATTGCAAAAAAAAATTTTTTTTTTGGAGAGTTTTTTGCTATAGAGTGCATGCGCTTGCCAGAGAGACAGAAAGCGAGAAATCACCCCCCAGGGGGGATGGCCACACCGCAATCCCTTCTCCTCCATTCTCCTCTCGGGATCTTGGGCACGCACGCATACATGCCCAGCATGAGTTTAAGCCACTGGGTCCGGGACTTGAACCATGGTCGACTACGTGGGAGTCCAGCGACATAGCCATTGCGCTAACTGCTGGTCCCCCCATAGCAAAATTTTTAAAACAATTATTGACCAAAACACATGACAAAACTAGCTAAGGGTTAACCACATTGCATGAATATGTGCTGAATTTTGTGTTTATAAAATGTAAGTTCTATGAGAGTTCAAAAGGGAGGATACTACATAAAAGAAGTGACACAGAAATGCAGTCTTTAAAGGGTGGATGGGAATTGAATAGGCAGCGAGGAGGAGAAAGGACGTTCCAGACGGTGAGAAATAAAAATAATAATGACAACTAACACGCATAACTGTGGTAACACTGTTTTCAACATATTTATCCTCACACGATAGAGGCATGCTCTGTGATTGTCACCTCACTGTAGGGATGACTAAACTGAGGGACAGAGAAGATAAGTAATGTGGCCCAGGAAATACAGCTAAAAAGTTAATGCAGGATTTGAATACGGGGAAGCTGATGGTAGACTCTACAACTTAGCCACAGTGTATTCCTGCTCCCTGTGAAGAAAGGCATGGATTTTTAAATAGAACATGCTCTTTGGAACCAACTGCTTCACACTCTGTCCTTGGCAGTTTCTTATTCAGGCCCTGGGCTTTGGTTTTTCCTATTTGAGCAGTATCAGGAAACCTTGTTCATATCGTATTGCAGGAACATGCCAGACACTTGAATTCCTTTCATCCAGCTTTCAAAGTCCATAGGGTCAGGACCATCTCAGGAACTTGAACCATAGGTGTCTGTATCCCTGTCTTCTCTTTATACTGGTTTGGGGAGACATAGCAGTTTGTTTAAGGTTTCTGGCCATCTTAGTCCATTTTTGCTGCTGTAGTAGAATACTCGAGGCTGGGTAAGTTACAATGAGCAGAAATGTATTGGCTCACAGTTCTGGAGGCTGGGAAGTACCAGGTCGAGGCTCTGGCATCTGGTGAGACTCTTCTTGCTGCATCATCACATAGGGAAGGTGGAAGGGTGAGAGAGAGTAAGAGGGGGCCAAATCCACCCTTTGGTAACAGCACCAATCTTGGCGAAGCCCTCATTGCCTATTTCTGAAAGGTCTCACCTCTTGGGACCAAATGGCATAGTGTTGCTGGACTCCCTCAAGGTTGACTGCAGTTTGAGTCCCGGACTGGGTGGTTTAAAACTCATGTTGGGCATGTGTGTGTGCATGCCCAAAATCTCAAGAGGGGAATGGAGGAGAAGGGATTGTAGCATGGCCATCTCCCCTAGGGGGTGATTTCTTGCTTTCCGTCTCTCTGGCACACACATGCACCCTATAGAAAAAAAAAAAAACTCTCTTAAAAAAAAAAAAAAGTGTCACCTTTTTTTTTTTTTAAAGAGTTATTTAATTTTGTTTATTGATGATTATTTTTTAGATTTGCTATAGGGCACTTGTGCTTACCAGAGACTGAGAGCGAGAGAAAGTGAGAAAGCAAGCCACCAGGTCTGAGACTCGAACCACAGTAGGCCATGTGGGAATCTAGCACCTTACCACTACACCACCTGCCGACCCAAGATTTCACCTCAATACTGTTACAATGGCAGTTTGGAGGAGACAAACATCCAAGTCATAGCGCCAACGAAATGGAAAAGGTTCTGTTGAGGGTTCGTAATGAGAACACAGTGGAAAAACACAAGCAGCTTTAAGGAGCTTATGTTCTGTAACAAAACTCTTCTAAACAGACCCGTCTGGTCTGGGTGACATTCTAGGTCTTAATGCTCTCCTTTAAGCACTGGAGTCTCTCTACTAAGTTCTACTGAGTATAGTAAGAAAACAGCTCTCCCAACTCCATGATTTGAGGTGCAGATATCTTTTTGCTGATTACTCAAATAAAGCATTCTCATTATTAAAGAAATCAAATGTGCACTGACTCCATAGTCCAGTGGTTAAGCTCTGTGCTTTGGAAGCTGGATCCCACATACCTGCGGTTAAAATCCCCACCCCAGTGGCTTAAAAAACATGCTGGGTGTATATGTGTGCCTACCCCCAAGTCCTGATGGGATGGAGAAATGGAAGAAGGGGGATTATGACAGGACTGTGGGGGGTTCTCTCTGTCTCACACTCTCTTTCTTGTTCTCTGGCAAGCACATGCACCCCCTGGCAATTAAATAAAAGAAAAAAAAATCAGAGGCTGGCAGGTGGCATGGTGGTTAAGGGCA